ATTCATCGGCGAAGAGTCAATACGTTGTTTTTATGCTCACGGGTTCATTTCTATACTTCCGGATATTCAATCCGGAATGAAATTTATTTATATTATGAGCATATTCATCGGTTCAAACGGAAATGCATATTTAATGAGGAAGAAAATGGTTTTAATTATTCCCAAAATTTAATTGGCTGAGATAAGATCGGTCATTCTGTGGAATATAAATTGGATTGAAATTGAATTCGCAATTTTTATTTCGGAGACGAAGAATGGCATTAAGCGGACCCTGTCAATAGCGAACGGAACACTTTTTTGCAACATGCACACGAACGACAAACAGTTTATAATAGAAATGAAGTTACCATTCAAGTTTCAATGAATAAAGATTAGTTTACCAGTGGTAAAAAACCACTGTCCGTGTCCATTCAATGTGCAGCATGCACTCAAACATTCGCAGTAGACACGAAAAATGAAGAAAAAAAAAGTGTCTGTGCATTCATTTCTTCCATTTTAGTTCTTCTTATTTTCTCCGGATTAACGAAGGCACGCGCAAAACAAAGAAGAAGACATGAAACATAGTCGCTGCAGAGTGCAGGAGACCGCATATGTGCAGAAAACACATACAACTCGATGTACTGAGCAATGCATCGTATACAAGCGTTGTCATTCTCATTGAAATGAGCAGTAGTGTGAAGTTCACACTGTGAACTATATATGCGATTCTTCGTCTCTGTTCCCAATTTTAGTTTCCTCATAATAGATTCACTTATGATTAGAACCAAGTTGATTGAAATTAATGACAAAAATCCAACGAATAAACATACCATAACAACAAGTATATATCATTTTTTCACGCTTGCATTATTTCATTGCAAATTTATCTGGATTTACGCTTGAAATGAAAGTAATTTAACAAACAATTTGTTGACTAATTTTTCGCGCTGTGTCTAGACAGCTGATAATCTATTACGCTAAAAATATTATTTTTTTTTTATTTCGTTCTGCGAATTGGACGTCGACGACAATATAAAAATGATGATTGTATTTGATTTCGCTACATTTCAATCATCGTATTGGACAGCTGCATTTGTTTTTGAGTAGTGTGCCACAAAGTGATGTTTCCCAAATTGATCCAAAACTCTCTTTTATTCTTTTTGCTGTGCGACGCTGGTGAATCGGTAAATCGGATAGTTTTCCAAGTGATTTTTCATCAGTTTAAAATGTGATAAGTTTCCGTCGTTTTTTTTTCGCTCAGAAAATCTTTGAAGGAATACCCAAACAAGCCGAATGCAAGTACTACAATCCCGATCTAATAGCAAATTTTACATTCACGTACAAGCCATTGGGTTGGAAGAAGGCAAAATACAGCATTGACGGTTATATGAAAGAAGGTGTTGAAATAGATAATGCCGTGGTAATAATCTTTGTTCACCAGTAATTTCTATTTAAAATATTTTACGAGTTTCTTTTTGTAGATCAGGGGAACGACATATCGTCGTGAAAGTAACATGGAATATCGCGTATTTGGTCCAAAGGAATTAACAGTTGAAGCATGCGGTTTTTTAGGAGGATCGTGGACCCATGTAGTGGTCGATTTAGTTGCGGCTTATATGAAAAGGGCTGCGAAAAGCAACAATGTCTTTCATCCATGTCCATTTTCAGTAGGTGCAATGATAATATTTCTGACACAAAACCTATAGATAGAGAATTTCGAAACAACCGAAATTGTTGCGGCAAAAAAATTCTTCCTTTGTGGCAGTTCTTAAAAATCGTGCAAAATAATTCATATTCACATCTACATATAATTTACATTTTTCTTTTTGTATGTGATTGACAGGGTCATTTTTATATCCATGATTTAATCGTCGATGAAAATGCTTATAACGTTGTCAATTTTCTACCTAGTGGATTCTTTATGTTCAAGGCTCGAGTGTTTACTCGGCGCAACAATACCGAACATTTGCTCATCGAGACGGCCACCTATGTTGATTTGAGGCCAGTTGGTATTCATACAAAGAGATAAATTCAACGAATCGCGTGTTTTTGATTTTACTATCGATTTGATTTCAGACAATGAAGAATTTGTCGAAATTTTCCATTAAAATCACACAAGAATTTAAAAAAAATGACATTTCGATGAATAAAACTGTTCTCAAAATTGAGTTTTTAGATAAAACTTGAACCGATTAATAAATTTCAAAAGAAAAAAGAAAATTTGTCACAAAACGTTGGATGATTACTTTATTACGTGATTAAATGTATCTTCGTAAAACTTATCGAATGATATTTTCATTGAAAAAAATTAAAAGAAAGTTTCAAAATCGTGCATCGCGCGTATTGCAAATAGTGCATTAAATTCAATATATTGAAAAAACAAATGATTTCAGTCTAAACAAAATGGTGTAACTGTTCAAATGAAAGGTGTCAAAACTGAAGATTTGAACTTCAACCTAATTAAAATGAATGGAACAATGATTAAAAAGAATAAAATCAAACATAAAGCTATCGAAATTTAAAATCAATAAGTCATCGACTATGACTGCTTTTAGACAGAGACTCGAGCTGATCTATTCATTTTGTTTGTTTTCGTAAGAAATGACAAAATTGTCGGTTGCTGACGTTTCGATGAATCTTGCATGCTAAATCGACCATTGCTTGGTGTTTGTAAGAGACTTTTTGCCATTTTCTCTGCTTCTGACGATTTTGATGATATTTTCATGATTTTTGCTGAAGTCTAGAATGAGAAATCAAATTTGAACATTGACTATCATTTATTTTTGTTGTGAATGGGATTAAAGACGGAATGATTGCAAATATTTGCGATATTATATCTCTTAGGGACCAAATCGCACTGAAACAATTCATAGCTTACCTCGACTGGCAAGTCAGCATTGTGGCAGCCGCAATTGCATGTGCAACATGCTTTTTTCGGTTCCTCTTCTGCTACCGTTTTCGGGGGTTTCTTCTGTAATAGTTTTTGTGCTTGAGGCGGTGGCTAAAGAAATGAAAAAGATTAGATCACAACAATGAACAAAATTGAGTGGAAAAGCAGTTTATAAAAAATGAAAATTTGCTCACTTGCTGTCCAATTTTCGTTGCTTTAGGTATGATTGCGTGCATTTTGAGGCTTTCATTCAGACTAAGACTTGCGTTCGAGTCTTTTTTGCGAATTTCTCGAATTCGTTTGCGACAGTAGTTAATGGCCATCATTGATTGGGTTCGATGACCTTCGGGCAATTCAATTCCTTTGAATTCAGCGACACACTGATTGTACAGGTCAGGTGATTTCACATGATAATACTTTGGGTCCAGGGCGCGAGATCGCATTAAAGAATTAAATTCAATTAAAAGAACATCATTCGAATCGGTTGGATGTTTCGAATGTTTACCAACAAAACGCACCGTTTTATCAATCATATTGTAAATGGCATTAACAGTACAACTATCACCCTGGCATTTCAAATACATAAACCTCGAATTGGCTGTCGTTTTTCGGTAGATATTGTATTTGGCGTCTTTGAACAACGCTTCGGAACCTATCGTTTTTCGATGGAAAAAGAATTGGAAAATGGAATTAAAAAAAAAAATGTTTGAAACAAATTTTTAATTCATTTGAACCCACCTGCCAATGGTTCAAACGCCGAATTGCCGGGATTTCTTTGAGGTTTTATTCTGAAACGGAAGAATAGCAACTTAAATTGATTTTGATTGAATTTAATGACTTAAAATTGATTCAAGTTGTACTTAAAACGTTTGAATTGGGATTTCCAACAAAAAACCGAATTTCCCGAAAATCAAAGTAAATTTTTCGCTCTTTTCCCCATGATATAAAATCGAATTCAAACTCACTTCAATTCCGGCAATGTCATTACTTCGGTTGGTTTGGGTATGATCTTTTTTGCTTTAATCAACTCGTTATTCTCCGTTGCTTGGTCACCATTTGATGAATTAATTTGTTTTTCATCTTCCTCTGCCTTTTGTATTCCATTGTGTTTACTTCGATACTGTCGTAGGGCTTCAATGGTATTCTTATAATGACCATTTGGCAAGTGGATCCCCTTAAATCCAGCTACACAATCATGATAAATTTTATGGATTTCAATACGATTCAATGTTGGATCGAATAATTTAGTTCGAAGAAGATTCCTCAGTTCAATTAGTTTAATGTCATTTTTCCTGGTCGGATGATTGGAATGTCGACCGATTTGTCGTGCAGTTTCATTTTCTGTGTTATAGATCAAAGTAACCGGGCAATCTTCTCCTCGGCACTTTAGATATATGGAATTGGGATATTTAACCCTTCTTTGATATAAGTTACCAATCGAATCCTTATACGCTGTCATCGAATCTGCAAGGGGGAAAAAGTGTTTTATTCGTTTTTTGGTAAAATTCATAAAAGTCGCAAATATTTTACCTCCGATTGGCTCAATGGTTAGTTTTTTAGGCATTGCCGGACTTTTTGGGCGATTCCTGGAAAATATTTTAAATCATAAACAAAAACTTTAGCAAAGAAAAAATGAAATCATTTCACAAATGTCAATTGGTCAACAATTTGATTTTAGTCTAATTTAACCCTAGTTTTGAGAGAGAAAAAAAATATCATAAGGAACCAGAACTTATAGTTCGAAGAAGATTTGAAGAAATTCGACACTTACAAAGTTTTCCTAGGGCTCGTTCTCAACGCCGCCAATTCAAATGGCTCTGATTGGATACATATTTTAGAAGCTGCCTTTAGTTTTGCTGCACGAGTTTTCGGTCTTCGTGCTGAATCCATATCTTGGTCTGAGTCTTCACTCTCGTCCAGTTTGTATTGTTTGTTGTCACTATCCACGGTTTCGGCCCAACTTCTTTTTCTTAGCTTGCGATTTAAGTCTTTGATCTCGTTTTCTTTCTGATTTTCGACATCGTTATTATCTTTGATGTCATTTTGCATTTTTTCGGTAACTAAGACACCGACTTCACTACTTTTTTGTTGTTCGATGATAATTACATCATCGTCTAAGCCATCTATGATCTCATTTATCTTTTCCTCGCATCTCAGAACTTTGTTCTCGATCCTTTTCAGTTCTTCTGCATCGTCATTCAAGTCTTTGAGATCGTTTTCATCTTGATGTTCGACATTGCCGTTATCTTTGATTTCACTCTGCTTTTCTTGATTGGTAGTCTCTGAGTTCAAAACATTGAATTCTCTCGTTTTGTCTTGTTCTACATCACCATTCATGTCATGGATCGTATTTTTCTCTTTTCCAACTCCAACATTGTTCTCTTCGATTTCCTTATCCTTTTCTTCTGCTTTTTGCTTCTTCTCTTTTCCAAGTCGCTTGTGTCTCGAAAGTCTACGGATATTCTTTCGAAAACTCCGAACAGATACAACGGCTCTCTTGCGACGACCTGCTGGAAATTAAATGAAATGACATTAGTTGATGCAAAAGACTTATTTTACATTGCGAACCAGATAAAACTGGCACAATCTCTATCTAATACAGTTTTGTAATATTCGTGAGGCTGCCCTATAATTTCTGTGCTGAGACTTACACTGACTCGCATGAACCATAAGCCCAAAGATTATATGCAAAAATGAATCTTCAATGGCTTCGAAGAACAATCAATTATTCAATCTACTTTTTACGAAGAATGTTCGAAAAATGAAACATTTTGTATGAAAAATTGAGCAATCGGAAGAAACCCAATTGATTAGATTCTATTTTGAGTGAGATTTAATCGGATTTATCCATTTAATGTTTTCAAAAAATAAATTTTTCGAACGAACTCTTCATTTTCACGCGTAAGAATTTATTTATATTTTTTTCCTTCATTTTCTCAGCGGTTGCTGGATAAAATGACACAAAGTATTACTGTGAATTTGGTAATTTTCGTGTGTGAAGTGTAAATTGTTCCACTTTGTTCGGGGAACACAATTTTTTGCCGCTTTTTTATGTAAAATCCGATTTTCTATGGATTCTTGTTGAAAAAATGTCATAAATCAAAGCAATAGAACTACAGACTAGATTGAGAATAATAGAAGTAATCCTTTTTTGCATAAATAATTTTTATATTGGAATTTATTCCATGTTCTGCATTAAATAGACGAGAACATTCAATGAAAGGCAAAGATATTTGAAAACAGAACATGGTTTTGTGTCATTTTGACCATGTATTATGCTAAATTTTACTCTTTTTGGCATGAAAATCGAGAGTTCTTTGAGTTCTTCAAAGCATTATCCGAAGTATTAGTTTCAAACCGGTCTGAAACAATGAAATCGACGATGTTTGATTTCAACCAAGACTTACCTGCAACTCGTTTCATCATCGTTGACTCATCATCTGTGTCGTCCCTTTAGAAAATGGCAGTGAAAAATTGAAGAAATAATTTTTTGGTCAGTTTGTTGAACGAAAGTGATTTTTCATAAAAAGAAAATAATTAAAATGGAATTGAAAATCTAATTTGAATTTCATTCAACATCAAAAATTGAACTGAATTCGGCTTTACGCCAAATTGCAACAAACTTGAGATAAAATTAACAAAACAATCCATAAACTGTCAAGAATCGGATATTCCGTTTGATTGAATTGAAAAAAACACACAAATGAGTGCTTACTCTGATGTAATCGAGTTGTCGTCTAAAGAATCATTATCCGACTGTGTGCAATCGATTTTCTTCAAATTATTTTCATCTAGCGGCTCATTTTTTACTTCGATGTCATTTTCCAGCTCCTTCCGTATCGAATTGACATAATCACTGATCAATACTTTGGGTGACTGATTCTCGTCTTCATCCGCCTCATCTGATCCCGAATAATAGCAAAATTCCACATCCATTTCGGGTTCATCCATCGTTACACTCATAGTTTGCCAATATTTTGATCGTAAAATATTTCAATCGCCGAATATGTTTGGTGCGAACGGTTTTAATCACTGAATTTTTTTTTTATCGAAGAAACTCACAAAAGTACTTGAAAGAACACAAAGATCTCATAAAATGACATCCAAGTCGACGCAATATTCTTTTTTCAATAAATTTAAATGCAATGAATTTCGTTTTTATTTTCGTTTTTTCAATATTTCAATCGCACTTTCAAAACTACGACCGAACCAAATTGAAAATATTAAAAAAATTTCTTTTTTTTGGAAAATACTATTTCTGACAATAAAATATGTAAAGTAATCTATAATGCGTTGCTGTTGGTTGTCCGGTCGCTCGTTGACAGTTGACATTATATGCACCGCGATGACGTTTCAGGAACATAGTGAAGTTGGCGCTTCATTTGTTCCATCATTGGAAACGAGGGTTGGCACTTTTACACACAACGTTGATCTTGTTTTTTTTTTGACACAATTCATTTGGAGCAATGTTGCAATATTTTTACAGAGGAAAACGAAATTGTAATGGTTTGATGGAAAAGAATGAGAAGATGAGAACGGAATTTGTGTCAATATTGAAATATGTCGCTGAGTTCTATGAAAAAAATTTTTTCAGGTTTTTCAAGACCCAAATGCATGCAGTGTCAAATTGTTCTTCATTTTTTCATGTTTTTATCGTTGAAGTTCGGTGATTTCTCAAATTTTCAATTTAAATATGTTGCTAATTGCAATTCATAATACTTTTTTTCTTCGAAAATTGTCGTTTTTATCCGTTCGGCACCTCCAATTTAATTCTCATGCAAATTCCCATTTATGGAAAAGCCTTAATAAAGACTTCACTGTTAAAAACGGTCTTCTTAGAAGTTACTTTACCTGTTTAAGTACACAAAACCGAGAAAAACCCGTATTACATCCAATTTTTTTTCTTAACTTTTTCTTTAGTCACTTCTTCTTCTTTTCTCATTTTTTTTTCTTTACTTTATTTTTGCTCGAATAATTGAAAAATTGTGCATGTTTTTGGAACAAAACGAATAAAATAGAGATTTAAACTCAAGAACTGAGACATTTAAAACTAATGAATAAGATGACAGTTGGGCTTGAACTAAAACTAAACGATCTTTTTACAAAGTCATAGTGACCGATGGATCATTGTCAAACTATCGTAAATTGCTTCAAATGTTAGGCTGCTGGCTGCTCAAAGGACAGGTTTTTCCATAGTTCAAATAAATCATGAGCTCCAATGTCACTAATCCACGGCGGGTTTGTTTTTGAACTGTTTCAGTCAAAGAGAATAGAGGTGGAATCAATTAGCTGCTCCAGTTGATAAAAAAAAATTCTTCAAAACTCTGTGAGGTTGGTTTCTTGAATATTTCTATGTTCATCAAATTTGGTGCATTGCAGCTATCTTCCTAGCATTTCTCGAACTATCCACAAAATGGTGCTACTGACATGCACTGCTGATTTTTGCCCTCAACTCGGAATTGTTCTAGTGGATTCTCTCATTTTTGTTCAATTGGTCAAAGAGCGATGAGATTCGACTTGCAAAAGATGTACAGTGTTCGACAGGAAAGAGAGAAGTAGACGGGAGTTATGTCCATTGACAGGAGGGCCGAATCTCCACAAGGTGATGGCTGATTTCATTTTGTTCTACTTAAAGATACAAGTATGAATGGACAGTATTCATTGTTCATTCGTCCATCGAAATGTCTACGCTACAGTCATTGGACATCACTGCTTTGTTGCAATTCAGCAATCATCTGGCAGTGAAAATCATCAACGGTGGCGTTTACCAGCCGCGTTACCTATAAGAAGAGCAAGAAATCGAATAAAATTAAGGAAAACCAATAAATCTAAATATACGGTTTGTATTCACTTGAAAACCAAAAGTTTGACGCTCTCTCACTCACCTCCGTGCAAAACTGTGCATGAATTATTATTTCCTCCTACATTAGATAGTTGCACAAGTTTTGCTGAATGATATTTCTCCCAAATTCATGATTTTCTGTGGGTCCAAAAAACAGTCAGCACCAGTTAAATCCAGTAAAATTGTCCATCTGTCATGAAATTGACAAAAAGAGTAACTTATGAAAAATGCATGACATTCAAGACCTCTGAAGTATTCTTTTTCCAAGAGATACAATCTTGTAAGACAAACCCAACAAAAAGTTGTTTGTACCTTTGTGAACCATTCGCATAGTTGCTCTTCTGTCGTGTGTTTACTTCTGCGATGAATATGCCGATCTATCTGTGATAAAATATCACTATTGCACTTTACAAATCCAGTGCATCATTTGCTGCCAGGTATCCATTACTCTACCATTCGGCATGGTCCATTACATACTTCAGAGAGCTCTTTTTGCACCACGTCAACAAGGCTTATGGACATAAATTAGAACGTTCTGCGGTTTTATACATGGCACAGCGTCCGTCTTTCACAACTTCTCATGCCAAAATGTACAGTTTTCGTTTTCCATTCAACAAATTTGTAGAAAAGTTCTTTCGAGGTGGGCTTAGCTCCTATAAAAAGATCAGTTTGAACGGAAAATTAATCAACTTTTTAATAAAAGTATCAAGTTGATACTATGAACAATACCCAATGTAGAGAATTTCATAAAAATTACTTTTTTTTACAGAAAAATCTTCAATTTCCAATATTCCGTATTCGTACTTAACTCTGTTCTCATCTTCAGCGACTGTCATTAATGGTTGTTCCTCCGCTTAGGCATAGAATTAAAATTCTAATTTCACTTCTAGTTCCACCAGCCTCATGACTATTTCCAAATCTTTATTATTCGCTGCGGTTTTGACGTTTTTCTGGTGGTTATCCTTTTCTTTTCGGTTGGAAAAAACGTAGTTCTCTGCCCATTTTGATCGATTGAATAATCTAATAGGTGACGGTGTGGTATAATTTACGGAAAATTGTGGTTTAAATCCGTAATTTCACTGAAATTTCACACAATGCCCATTATATTCACTGCAATTTTTGCTTATATTGCAAGTATTGATAATTATTTCTGCATAAAGATCACCGAATGGCCAGAAAACTTTTTAAATTTTAGCTATTTAGTCATTTATAAAGCTGTCTTCCAAAAATATTTTATTTATGTCAATAAAAACATTGTTCTGGAATAAAAAAAAAACTTCTGTTCACTCTCCATGCACGTTCTTTCAAATACGTTGACAGATGGTACAAACCGGCTTTTGACATTTCGTTGTCATAGCGCTCCATTGACACTCCGTTCCAGTCACTGGAAGTGAAGCCAGTGGTGGAAGTACGTGCTGAATGAAACCTCTTGTCAACATTTAAATCAAAGCAAGGAAAAATATCAACGATTTTTTTTTTCATACATCAAGCTAAATGTAAAACTGAAGTATTTTATGATAACTCCCACTTTGGAATTTGATTTGTTTGATGATTTATGACCATTAACCAATGACCATTATGACACACAAACTTGAATTCGTTTGAAGAGAACTCTTTTTTGTCGAATCAATACATTTATTATGCAATAGAATGCTACTTTGACTTTCCATTTCGATACGTTGGGAATCGTTAAATGATTTATATGGACAATACGGATTTTCTGCATAAACTGAACTATAAATGCTATAAAAATCTATGCCATGAACTACTTTGTGAAGAATTTTCGTTTCTAATCAAGAAGTGACTGTTCTTTTACTAGGACTTTGCATTTTAGACTCTGAAAGTTTGATAAAAAAGGAGATATTATTCTCTCTAGTTGCATTTTTACGGATCAGCAAATCTCTTCCGATTTTATACTTTGATTCAGTTGAACTCCAGATTAATAATACTGGCTTGTTTGAATATAGATTTGGAAGCTTAACACATCAGCTTAAAACTAATTGGCATTCTGGTACTCACTTTGATCAACGTTCTATACTTTACCCAACAGTCGTTCGAATTTCATGAACCTATATAGTCTTTTGATGAGAATTTGATACAAGAATTTTACACCCAAATAAATTTTTCTTTTAATAAATCGTGCATTTGATTTCGTGCTCGACTGCCTCATCACATTGAGCAAAACCTTTTAAGCAATTCGAGCAACTGAACAGGAACTCGCTGACGTGCGTTCGCATGTGCGATTGAAGATGTGATTTCTGTCTGAATCGTTTTGCGCAATGCGTGCATGGAAACGGCGTTTCAACAGTGTGTCGGCGCATGTGGTTTTTAAAACAGCTTGCGTATATAGTGGTATAATGGCACGATGAACATTTGTGCTGTATGCCGTTTCCTTTCGATGCAGTCCACTTTTTCTGGTTATTGCGAATGGTAGTTTTAGGTTTGTTTCTTGATGCGGCTACATTATTCTTCCCCATTGTACTGCCAAGTGGGCTTCGTTTTGCCTTCGATTGATTCAAGCATCGCTTTACGATGGTAGCCCATTTCTTTCTTTCCCACGATTTTCAGCTGAATCTTTTTGCGCATTTTTGTCGATCTTCTCCTTCTTCACCTCTGGTTTAATTTCATCCAAATCACAAACGTCGATGAAATCCATTTAGTCACCACCAATTGAATTGACAGATGACCTACTCGCGGAGCGTTCCGATGCTGACACCGTCACCACGTCGGCTGTATCTGCGGGCTCTAACTTGACGGTGGTTGGTTCTTGTTTTATTTCAATTCCATTCAAAATCCATTCGTTATTATCTTGAAACGGAGTTTCATTCGGAGATGAACCACCTTTATCGGGCGGCCGCAAATGGCCATCATCCATTCAGAGATGACTTTAGAGCACTCAAGTGGTATTTTTTTCGTTCTACTTTAGCTTTTTGGCCAGGATTTTTAAAAAATAATATTTTGTGTAACATAACGAAGAAGAGCTTACATTTTCTGCCCCCGGTATTCGCATTGTGTGGTCATATGCACCTAGTAATTACGCGCATTGGCTCAATTTCGCAATATTACGCAATTTCTACTTTTGGGGATTTTTTCTTCATATTTTACTAATATAAATGTGGTTTTTCAAAAACTGTTCTTTGTTATGTTACACAAAATATTGATACAAAGTTTTTTTGACCAAAATGGTAAAGTATTTAACGAAGAAAAAAACAAAAAAAAACAACACAAATAATCGGGTGCGCTAAAGTCATCTCTGCATCCATTGTGCTGTAATTCAGAGATATCATTAAGATTTATTTCTCATTAGAAATGTCAAACACAAACTCAAATATGAATGATTCCAATCAGATTACAATTTACCTTTTGTCTAGCAACTGAATGTGAATATTTCTGGTGAGCCAAAGCTTTGGTCAACAACTAAAGTTGTGAAATACTTCGTAATTATGAAAATGTAACTTTAATGAATCAGCGACAAAGCGCTTCCAAAATGGCAAAAAGAACAAATGAAAATATGTTTTATGTTGAAGTGAACGTGTTGCATCGACAGTCGATGCACAGATATGTGTTGATATAGGACGATGAAACAGAAGTAAGCACACTAACACTCTTGTTGACGTTTCGAATTGAGATGTGGTGTTGTCACTGCTGTCGACTTTCGAATATTTCGCTTAAAACCAGGCAATCAGCTATTTTAACATGTCACAAGAAATTCTCAGCATTTTTTTTTATATTTCAATCAATATCAAGCACATTTAAAATCTGTTATTCGAAAATCGAGTTAAAACGATATAATTTTCCATCAAAATTTTCGAATTTTCATCATCATTTATTAAATTTATATTTTGTTTTTGATCGGTTAAAGTCTTATTTTCCAAACATTTCAATTTGTAGCAAAAAAAATGGAACATTTTGCTTTCAATAAACAATTTGTAAAACGAATTTGAAATTGCATTCTTTCATTCAATTCTAGTGACGTCTCGATGAGTTGAATCAAAATCATTGACACTTCAATCGCCACACAGAAATGTTGACAAGTGACGTTTGAGTGAGCCCTTCTAATACAAGCTCACGCTCACGAATCGATCTGCACTCACACAATCACATGCTGATTTTGTGGATGGACAATTGGACATTCTTTTCTACGGTGACAGTCAAGGCGAAAGCACGTTTCAGAACCACGCGTATCAACTTTTTATTTTCAAGCCTACATTTCGATTCAACGCAATCAGACTTTATTGTTGTGAAATAATTAGATTTTCGATCCTTTTTGAAGTAAATAACAAATCGGAATCATAAAATCAATGGGAGAAAATGGACAATGAAAGGAAGTAAGTACATTTCGATGTTCCATTGACAAGTGGTGAGTGCTGGTGACTTCAATTTGCTCACTTGAATCATGCATTTCAAATGTTTAGAATACATTTGGAAAACAAGAATTCATTAGATTATCAGGTAGCATTTGTAATGAGTTTCCTTCGTGCCGCCAAACATAACCTCGAAAATATTCTTTGCTGCATCTAAAATGTCAAATACTTTTCATTAATTCACAGATATTCGACGAAAAGTGGTGTCAACCAAGGACACAGCTCTGATGAACCACTGAAATCGAACAGCCGGATGGCGTCTGTAACTCCGAACAACGTTCAGTCGGCTGATGCATCCGCTATCAAACAGGAAAGCGACATCAAACAAGAGCCAGTGTCTGTTGGTGAATTGGTTGACGTTTCGGTATCGACTCATCGCAATGCGGTACATGTTCCTAGTTTCGATGAACGTGACACTGAATACGATTTTGATCACTTGAGCTGGGACGAGGCCAAGGCCGAGAAAGAAGAGAAGGCGAAGACAAGTGCTGACAACGGGAAGCAAGCGATGGTTGACCAACAAGACCGACAGCCGCCTTCACAGAATAGAGAAGATTTACGCATGCCAGAAAGTGGCAATGTGGCTCACAACAGACATCAACGAGGCGGTAACGCTTATGGAAACACATCAAAGCCACACAAGTGTGAGTTTTGCGAATATTCCGCTCAATATAAGTGCCTTTTGAATCGGCACATGTTGAAACACACTGGCGAGAAGCCACACGGATGCACCCTTTGCCCGAAACGTTTCAAAGAAAAACGAAATCTCCTTGGTCACATGAAAGCTCACGTCCAAGAGTTTCTGTTCTATTGCTTGGGCTGCTTGCAAGGATTCGATGGAAAGGAAGAGAAGACGGAACACGAATCGAACTGCAAAATTCGTCGCTACGAATGTCATTTGTGCAAAAAATCGTTTGGTTCACACAAGATAAGGATTGTGAATCACATTCGTGTACATAGCGGTGACAAACCGTTCGAATGTGAAGAATGCTTCAAGCAATTTTCAGAGAAAGGCAGTCTAAGCAAACACATGAAGCTTCATGCCGGTGCACGTCCATTCCGCTGTTCAAAATGTCACGAAGGATTCTCAGATCAAGACGAAAGAGATTCACATGAGGAGGAGTGTAATCGTCGTGTCTACAAATGCTATGTTTGTCGCAAATCAATTGGTTTGAAGAAATTTCATTTGATTGGTCATATGCGCACTCACTCTGGTGAAACACCGTTCCAGTGTACAGAGTGTCCAAGAAAATTCTCTCAAAATTATCAGCTCAAGAGGCACATGTACACACATAAAACGAATCTTCCATTCGAATGCTTGATCTGTCGTCGGGGTTTTCTGAAGAACGACAAACGGAAGGAACACCAACGAAACTGCAACGGACGCTACTACGAGTGTTACTTGTGCAAGAAGTTGTTCCGTTCATCCAAGGACCAATTGAAAGGTCACATGCACACGCATTCAGGCGAGAAACCATTCCGCTGCGACCTGTGTCGCAAAACATTTACATGGAAATCGAATTTGAACAGGCACATGAAAAACAGTCACCGCAAATAATACTGAAGGACGCGATTTGCTTGTACGGATATTCCCATGGGGAAGTCAGACAACGTTTATTTTCATCGAATCAACTTCATTGAATGAACAAAAAAAATATATCGAGAAAATTCCAATATTCTAAAAATACCTATGTATCTCAAGTGAATCCAATGTCGTATGGCCAATAAATCAATATAGAACAGTTTTTTCCATTATATAATCTTACAACTATACTATCGAACTCTATTGACTTTCAAAATCTTGGATAAATCTGTTAAAATCTTATTCTCCAAACATTTCAATTCGTAGCAAACAAATCTAACATTTTGATTTCAAAAAACAATTTGTAAAACGGATTTGAAATTGCAGTATTTCATTCAATTCTAGTGACGTCTCGATGAGTTAAATCAAAATAATTGACACTTCAATCGCCAAACAGAAATGTTGACAAGTGACGTTTGAGTGAGCCTTTCAAATACATGCTTACAAATCGAACAGCACTCACACAATCGTATGCGATACATCCACCGCTTCGTCGCTGATTGTGTGAATTAACAATTGAACATTCTTTTCTACGGTGACAGTCAAGGTGAAAACACGTTTCAGAGCCACGCTACTGCTGGTGTAGCAATTTTTCATCTAAAAGCAAACAAAGTGCACTCCGATTCAACGCAATCAGACTTTATTTGTTGTGAAATAATTAAATTTTCGATCACTTTTGAAGTGAATAATAATTCGCATTGTAAAACTCTAATCAAAGTTTATTTGAATCATAAAACCTTTAGGGAAAAATGGACAATGAAATGAAGTGAGTACATTTTTATGTTCCATGGGCAAGTAGTGAATGCATTTGGCAAACCTAACCTCAAAAATGTTCTTCGCTGCATCTGTGATATCAAATTCTTTTCATTGATTCTCAGACAATCGACGAAAATTGGAGTGAAGAAAGAATGCAGCTCTAATGACCCAATGGAATCGAATGGCCGGATGGCGCCTGTGACTCCGGGCAACATTCAGTCGGCTGATTCATTCGAGATCAAACGGGAAAGCGACATCAAACAAGAGCCAGTGTCTGTTGGCGAATTGGTTGACGTTTCGGTATCGACTCATCGCAGTGCAGTACGTGTTCCTGGTTTCGATGAACGTGAAGCTGAATACTATTTTGATGACTTGAGCTGGGATGAGGCTAAGGCTGAGGTGAAGAACGTATGTGACAAAAAGAAAGAAGAGAAGGCGAAGACAAGTGCTGACAACGGGAAGCAAGCGATGGGTGACCAACAAGATCAACAGCCGCCTTCACAGAATATGAAAGATTTGCGCCCGCCAGAAAATGGCAATGAGGCACACAACACACAGCAACGAGGCGGTAATGCTAATGGAAGAACATCAAAGCCACACAAATGTGAGTTCTGCGAATATTCCGCTTAATATAAAAGGTGTTTGAATCGTCACATGTTGAAACACATCGGCGAAAAGCCACACGGATGCACCCTTTGCCCGAAACGTTTCGAAGAAAAACGAAATCTCCTTGGTCACATGAAAGCTCACGTCCAAGAGTTTCTGTTCCATTGCTGGGGCTGTTTGCAAGGGTTCGATGGAAAGGAAGAGAAGACAGAACACGAAGCCAATTGCAAAGTTGTCCGCTATGAATGTTATTTGTGCAAGAAATCGATTGGTTCACACAAGACAAGGATGGTGATTCACATGCGCGTACACAGTGGTGACAAGCCATTCGAATGTAAAGAATGCTTCAAGCAATTTACACTCAACAACTCATTAAACAAACACATGAAGCTTCATGCTGGTCCACGGTAATTCCGCTGTTCAAAATGTCACGAAAGATTCTCAGATCAAGACGAAAGAGTTTCACATGAGGAGAAGTGTAATCGTCGTGTTTACGAGTGCTATGTTTGTCGCAAATCAATTGGTTTGATGAAATCCAATTTGATTCGTCATATGCGCACTCACTCTGGTGTAACCCCGTTTCAGTGTACAGAATGTCCAAGAAAATTTTCTCGAATTGATTGTCTAAGGCGCACATGTGCACTCACACAACAAAGCTTCCATTCAAGTGTTTGATTTGTCACCGTGGTTTTCTTAAGAACGACAAACGGAAAGCACACCAACGAAACTGCAACGAACGCTACTACGAGTGTTACTTGTGCAAGAAGTTCTTCCGCTCATCCAAGTCTAACTTGGAAGGTCATATGCACGAACATTCAGGCGATAAGACGTTCCGATGCAAACTGTGTAAGCAAAAATTCACAGCGAAGTCCAGTCTCAATAGACACATAAATAGTATCCATAACAAGAATCGTTGATCATATCGATCGCAATGATTATATTCTTTGTATGAAAAGTTATCAATTCATTTTCCGCAAATTGTCCTAAAATTTCTTGCCGTATTGAATTCAAATGAATTGAAGTCAAACTACACAATCATGATTTTCGATTACTTGAGAACTTTCATTTGATTTTTTTTTTCATGCAAAACTTTAGTTTCCCAAAAAACAAATCTGGAATTTCTTTTAGTTCTTCAATGAAATTGTGAAGAAAACTGATAATGAAATAAATAAAGTTGATAAATTCAAATCAGAGTTGTCATTTTCATATTTAGCGACATCTGGAATAAGTCAAGAGAACACGTAACTTATTCGCTGAGTGTAGGGAAGAAGGAAAGTACGAAAAAAGTGGTTTGATTGAAACGTCACCACTGACACAAGCTTGTGAATCAAAGTTGCACTCACACAAGCACACAGACTATTTCATAGCTTCATTGTGCACAAAGGCAGAACGACACATTCTTTTGGCTGTCATCACCGGAGCAGACTGCACGTTCTACTGCTCTGTCATTTGCAACCATTCTCAATTTCACATAAAGCAAAAATATTTCTAGTGTTAAAATACGAATTATATATAAATTTTCAAGCTTTTACACATAAATGTGATTTTCCACACATTTTGTCGAAGTAACTAACAGTTCAGAAAGTGCAAATCAATCAGAATTTTCCAAAAAGTCGACATTTTTGTGAAGTTAAATGGGGAACAAAAAGAAGTAAGTAATTTTCCATGACATTTCAGCTCAAGGCCAATGAAACTGTTTTACCTTGATCTTGTCAGTCATCTAGACATTTGACGAAAGTGAACGTTTGATCTAGTCAATTTGTAAAAAAATGATATCCCTTTGGTTCAATATCACATTGAATTTTTTCTCGTAAATAAGACTCATGCTATGGATGATTCAAGTCGAATGCGTTTCTTCACCGTGACATTCAAACAATTAGCCTCCTTTTTCTACTTGACAAAAGACTGCCTAGATTTTTTGTATCGATTAAATTCTATTGAGAAGATTGTCCCTTTGTTTTATGATTGAAATCTGAATTTTTATCCATTGAATTCCAGGCGAGCTACTGAAGCGGCATTGAACCCAAGCCATCGTTCCAATGCAGCATTCGAATCGAATGAATCAGAATTAGCAGTGGTCGAAGCTGACAATCAGTTGGATCATCCAGTTGAGGTTAAAGAGGAGCCTCGCATCAAGGAAGAGCCGCAATCAGTCGGTGAATTGGTCGATGTTACTGTTCCCGTTCCGACAAGGAATAACCGTGTTGTTGTACCTTCATTTGGTGTCGACCAACCGAACGGCAAATACGACTTTGACAGTCTTGGTTGGGATGATGCCAAAATTGAAGTGAAAGGAGAAACCGAAGTAAAGAAGGAAAAGGAATCGAAGACGAACGATGAATTAGGCGGTGATGCGATGGCAAATCAACGTGATCATCAGCGGCCATCACGACCAGATGAAAACGTTTCCACGCAGCCAGGAAGTGGCCACGGTGCCAAGAACAAGAAATCGTGTGACAAAGTTAGTGTTCCGAAAACTGTATTGAAGAAGCAGAAATGCGACGTTTGTGAATATTCTACCAATAATTAAGGTCATTTGAATCAGCACTTGTTGAAACACACTGGTGAGAAGCCACACGGATGCACCCTTTGCCCGAAACGTTTCAAAGAAAAACGAAGTCTCCTTGGTCACATGAAAATACACGTCAAAGAGTTTCTGTTCCATTGCTCAGGCTGCTTGCAAGGATTCGATGGAAAGGAGGAGAAGACGGAACACGAATCGAACTGCAAAATTCGTCGCTACGAATGTCATTTGTGCAAGGAATCATTTGGATCGAAGAAAGTACACCTGGTGATGCACATGCGGGTACACAGTGGTGACAAACCGTTCGAATGTGAAGAATGTTTCAAGCAATTTACACAAAAGAGCTCATTAAACGCACACATGGAGCTTCATGCCGGTCCACGTCTATTCCGCTGTTCAAAATGTCACGAAAGATTCTCAGATCAAGACGAAAGAGATTCACATGAGGAGAAGTGTAATCGTCGTGTTTACGAATGCTATGTTTGTCGCAAATCAATTGGTTTGATGAAATCCCATTTGATTCGTCATATGCGCACTCACTCTGGTGAAACTCCGTTCCAGTGCGTAAAATGCTCAAAATCATTTTCTCAAAGAGATCATCTCAAGAGGCACATGTTCACACATACAACAAAGCTTCCATTCAAGTGTTTGATTTGTCACCGCGGTTTTCTTAAGAACGACAAACGGAAGGCACACCAACGAAACTGCAATGGACGCAATTACGAGTGTTATTTGTGCAAGAAGTTCACCGGTTCATCCAAGGCTTACAGATTGAAAGGTCATATGTACACACATTCAGGCGAGAAACCATTCCGCTGCGAACTGTGCCGCAAAATATTTACACTGAAATCGATTTTGAAAAGACATATGAAAAACATTCACGACAAGCAATACTGAACGACGCGATTTTGTTACACCGTTCCCATGGGACAGTCAGACAACGTTTTTTTTCCATCGAATCAACTTCATTGAATGAACAAAAGAAAATTCTAATATTCCAAAAATAAGTTTTTCAACTACAGTAAATCAATTCAAAATAGTTTTTTTCATTATACAATCTCACAACAAAACTATCGAATTCTATTACATTTCAGCTTTTTGGTCAAATCTGTTAAAATCTTATTCTCCGACAACAACAACATTTCAATTCTTAGCAAATAAATGGAACATTTTGACTTCAATAAACAGTTTGCAAAACCAATTTGAAATTGAATTATTTCATTCAAGTCTAGTGACGTCTCGATGGGTTGAATTAGAATAATTGACACTTCAACACAGAAATGTTGACAAGTGACGTTTGGGTGAGCACTTCTAATACAAGCTCACGCTCACGAATCGATTTGCACTCACACAATTACATGCGTTATATTCACCGCTTTGTCGCTGATTTCGTGGATGAACATTCTTTTCTACGGTGACATTCAAGGCGAAAGCACGTTTCAGAACCACGCGTATCAACTTTTTATTT